ATATTAACGTTATGCATATACAAGTAGATACATATCTATTTATATGTATAAAATAATATACATATATTTATATCAATATGATTTATTTATTTTCATTAAATAAATTTTGATATTTTGCCATTCATCAGTTTATTCAAATCAACTCTTTTCGTTCTTTTTTTTTTTTTTTGTTTGACATGGCTTAACTGCTCTTTAAGTCAGAGACGAATTGGTTAACTCATAACAAAGTTGGAGTTATTATTTGAAGGACGATCATGTCAAAAGAGGTGCTGATCTTATTCAGAGAAATTTTTATTACAATGGTCTGAATTTGTGTTTAAAATTTGAGAATTTAAGTACAAAAGTTATGAAAAAAATTGAATTAAAATTATGGATTGCTGTCAGAAATTTTTGAGAATTATTTTTTCCCCGAACATTTAACCCTCTACCACCCGTAAGGTTCATTTAGACCCTGTTTAGTCTCAAAAAGAGGAATTATTCGAGGCCTTGCGAAAATCAAGCTATTTGCCTGACCTAACATAACATAGTCTCAAAGTATCCTAACAATTTTTCAAAATCATTTGGGTTAAAGTTTTTCACTCTTAAAAAATGTGTTGCTGCGTGCACTATAGGTAAATTTTATACACATTTATATATAAAGCACATCTTAAGTATAAATAATAAGGTAATACGTCTCTTCAACATTTGAGACTACTTATTGTTATTTTATTGATTTTTTTGTATATGTAAATACATATATATGTAAGAATTCATAGAAAATTAACTCGTTTTCCAGGATTTACAAAAATAATTAATTATAACACAGAAATGAATAATGAAGTTCTGTTACTCAAATTTCGTAGAATTATAGGTTCTGAAAGAGTAAGCTCAGATAAACATGAGGTATAAACATATACACACTTGTTATAGGTCCCAATAAATATTTAATAAGATATTATATTGTTCAACAGCGATTTCCACTTCCCGTTGGCCGCTCGATTGTTTTGGTGAATTTTATTTTTTATTGCTCGCCTATTTTGGCAATAAAAATTTATTAAATATACATCGGTTTATAAGTGTTGATAATTTATCTGTGAATGTGTGACGCATTTTTCGGTTGTATTTTATTCCTACAACAACAATAAACATGTTCCATAGACCAACAATATATTATCTAAAGTTTTGCGCGAATGCATATCTATACAAGTATATCTACATATCTACATATATACGAATATATTATATATATTCTATAATGTGTTTACCGCTGTGTCCATCATTTGTTTGCTCAGTTATTGATTAAAATTATATTTTTTTGCATTACTGCTGTTTGCTGATAACTCACCGCTAATTGAAAGGAATATGACGTCATCATCTCGATGGTGTTTATTATTAACATAAAATTGTTTGCTTTTTGTTAGTTGCAGAAACCCCCTTTTCGGCACACGAGCTTTATTGTACGTTTCTTATCTTTGTATGGAATGTTTAATTAGTTCACATTAGTTCATTGAGTAGTTTCTTTTAACGATATCGTATGTTGCTATATAAAACAGCCTAAGTACGTTTTAAGAAATGTTGAGCAAGAAACTTTGATGGAAATATATCATCCTGTTATATATTATTAATTGATTGTTTGATTAGTGTATTTTTGAAACGATATTTCGGGGCTTCTGAGCATAATTTACAAATAATCTCAGAATCTAAGCTTCCCTGTATTACTCTGCTGAGAGAAATGTACTTTGTAACCGAAAACAGAATTAACAGAATAAACTAAGCAGGCTTCTAAAAGTTATTTGGTTTGCGGCTATTACGACATACACAACTAGATAAGAAGTCAAGGAGTAAAACGGAAAGACATTCCACTCTTATAGGTTATATTTCGTTAAGAACCCCAGTTTAGCATAAAAGGATATACAAATACATTTAGCTTGATTTTGATCAATCAGTTTGAATGGCAGCTTTATGCTATATAGTGGTTCGATCAAACCATTTTTGGGGGTAAATTGTAGCGTTAACTATTATAACAATCTATGTCAAATCAAGTGAAGATACCCTGTTAAATAGAAAAGCTTTCCATAAAAGGACTTGCGATTGACCCATTAGAAAAGAAAGTGTACAAAATTTGGGATCGTAATCTCAAAAACTTGGGACCTAGTTCACGTATATACTAACGATAGATAAACGGATATGGCTAAATCAACTCAACTCATCCCGCATGATCATTTATATCTAGGGTCTCCGACGTCTTTTTCTGGGTGTTAGAAACTTCATGGTGAACTTAAGAAACCTTATTCAGGATATATAAAAATGAGAAGTGATCTTCATTTAAGAAGTATTATTTTAATAGAAGCAGTAGGTAAAATCAGGACAAGTATGCTGAAAGGCTGGGTTTGCCAACTGCTTTATTCTATAGTTGAATGTCTTGAGTTAAAAATTATAGACAATTATTAAGTTCTCGAAATTTTGTGAAGTTTTTTTCCCCCAAAAATTTTTGACTTTTTTCAATGAACTTATTGCTTAGATTTGTATATAAGTATATATATGCATGAATTGAATTAAAAAACTGCTTCGGCCAACCAACTCTCTAAATTTTGGTACCCTCAGACAAACAAAAGTGCGTAGCCTGGAGAGTAGTGAAGATCATTGTAACAAATACTTTACTTCAAACAACTAGTATAGTATGAGTGATTATGCTTTTATTTCTAACTTTTTGGATACTTGATTTATATAAAGACTTTGTTTACGGTGCGCAGAATCTAACTCGCTTTTAGTTAAGGCAAGCCTTGAGCAATACTGCAAGGTTCTACTCTTCATTCTGAGTTTTTTGCAACAATTGTATTGCAAGATTCGTGCGACTGAAATAATGCAACGCTATAGACAAGGTTTTACAGCTGACATAATTTTTCCTGAGACGGCAGCGTTTTTACTATTATACAATATTTAATTGCCTCTCCCATTGTTTAATTAAATTCAGCTACTGCAATGTAAAATATAACAATATATCATATACAGTTAAGTCTATGGTATGTGTATGTAAATATTATATATAAGAATCCAGTTGGGCGATTATTATTAATTAAAGAACAAAAAGCAGGTACAACTCGGTGACAGGCCTCCAAGTAGGGTAGTATAAAATATTGACAAAACAATAATTTATTTCTTCCTCTCGCCATATGAATGTGCTTAAGTGTATATACTATATTCTATACTGTATAGTATATACTTGTATGTATGTAAATATGCATGTATGTGCGATAAAAGTACATTATTTCATTTACAAATTGTATTTGAAGAAAACCAAAAAAAAACGTAATACCAAGGGGTTTTATCTTTTTGTTTATAACGAAAATGTCTCATATAATTATATTTAAAATTATGTGCGGCCAAAATAGCAACGTACTGATGTCACACTCCAAGTGTTACCAACAAATGTAATAAATTTAATGGCGATTGTTTATGGCCGAAATTCAGACTAAAATTCAAATTTGTATTAAAAAAATAAATGATAATTACTTTACACATAAGTATGGCCTACAACGTGCCGCACATACATAATAACTGTAATTGCCGACCATAATAATATCTGTCTGTTGAAGTGCTCCTTAAATGGTCGACTAATTGACGCATTGACATAATTCGTGCAAAACTTCAATTTTGACTGTTCGACGGGCGAACACAGACATGAACAATGAAAATGGTAAGGAAAAATAAAATTTGTGTGGCACGGAAAACTAACTGCGCATATATATATTTATATTGACGAACATTTTTTAAATGTTAGAATTCCTTTTAGTGCAACCAATATGCAAATCAAGCATGCCGGGTATGCTATGTCGAGTGTAAAAATTGTCAAAATCGAACCATAACTGTTGAAGCCCCCCGGTGCCGAAGATATGGATCGCAGTGCTAATGATTGGCTTTTTACTGAAAATATCGGTCAATGTGTGAGATATATCATTAAAATTCGAAGAGAATATTTTTCTGATAACGCTTGTGTCATAAATAAATAAAATCGGATCAATACTACCCCTAGCCCCCATATACACAACCTAAAGATTTAAAATTTTCGGTTGCCTTTACACTGTATATATCGGTAAATATGTAAGATAAGATATCAAAATTAAGTGAACGTATAATGGGTATTTTATAGTTTAATGCAGAAAATGGGTAAAATTGGTAAACGAATCCGTTCGCCACGCTGATCATTTAAATATACGTAAATTTTATAGGATCTCTGAGTTTCCTTCTGGATGTTACAAACTTCGTGGCAAAATAAATATAAAATTAAAAATTAAAAATTATAGAATCGTGTGAATAAAACCGTTTTATGAGTATGACCCAAAAGTGCGCTTCCTTACTTTTTTCGAGTTTTAATCGTGTTCAGCAAAACAGATATATTTTGGTGCAACATGTTGCATTGGTATAAAAAAAGAAAAAATACTTGTAGTTAAATATACAACAATATTTAGTACTAGTAATATAAACAAAAGTAAACAAATCGAAGCAAATATAAAGAATTTTTGCAATAACTTTTATAAATAGCAGTGATGGAATGCTGTTTTGCACCACACAAGTATATATGTACTTATATTCATATATGTATGTTTGCATATGTATGTACAAATGTACATATCAGCAAAATAATTAATATACATAATTCAATAAATTCATATCGAAAGCCGTGTCATACAATCGGTTGACGTGCTTCTTATACTTAATTCGCTTGGTTGGACGTAGATGGGCCGCTAGCCTATTTATATGGTTCTCTCCATTACCGTTGTGCGCGTAAGGCAATTAAAAAACAAAGTTTATAAAAACAAAGAAAAAACAAGCAATAAATATTACTAAATATTTATTCTTTTCACAGACACACACACGTCCACATATCTGAGTATCAGACAAAATGCATCATTCTTTGTATTCCAGGCTTTTCATTATTATTTAAATTATATTTAATTTTTATTGCTTTTATATTTCAATATTAAATATAAAATAATAAATTTTTTTTTTTCTATTTGCAGTCGGAATCAGTTTGTCACAAATGCAACGAAATCATCACGAAACGCATCATAACCGCGCTTGGCAAGACCTGGCATCCGGAACATTTTGCCTGCAAGGACTGCAACACACCCATCGAGGAGGCCACATTTAATATACAGGATGGTGAGCCAGTGTGCTCCAAATGTTTTCTGAAAAACTACTCAGGCACATGTCACGGCTGTAAGCAACCCATTTTGGAGGTGAGTAGTTAAGACTGAATAACTTTCGATGGGTGGATCACTAGATTCTCATAGATCCGCGAAAATTTTTAAGCTTACCGAAAGTATGTCTATCGAGATATTTTAATCTCAATTGGTCAACAACTTTAAGATTTGCGCTATATTTTAACTTAAATAAATAAAAAAGAAGGTGTATCGGATCGATCACATGAGATATCATTAGAAATATCTCCATAAGATCAGAAAACAAAACTGTATAGGTGACTTAACCCATAAACATAAGCTAATAGGATCGATCACTTGAGAAATTATGAAATATTTCATTAAAGGATCAGAAAAAAAGCATATATATGATTTAGACCATAACGGAGAGAAATCAATAAGGGAATACAGATGCATTTAGATGACTTAGACCACAAAACTGATTGGATCGATCACTTGAGAGATCATGAGAGAGATGACTATTAGATCAGAAATCGGAAGTATATAGGTGACTTAGGTTATAAATTAAATTGATAGGATCGTTACTTGAGAAATCCTGAGAGGGTTTATTAAGGGATCAAAAAACGGAGGTGTATGAGATGACCTACTCAACTCAACTGGAAAAAACACATCCGTATTTCATTTAAATATGTCATTAAATTTTTAAAATAATATATTCCTCTTTAACTCTAATTTTTTTATAAGAAAAAACTCTAAATTTCTGAACCATAATGTGCGTGTGCGCACTTTCACTACACTGGTAAACCTCAATTCAATTCCAATCTTCTATAAAGATCAAACATTTTTTTCTAATTGCGCTTGCCACTCGAAGGGGAATCACTGACCTCATTTTTGCTTTAAAAAGCAAATCCTTACTAAACTCATTAGCTTATGAGCAGTTGCTACAATAAATATACTCTGGCTCCATATACAAGTACAATACATCTGTTACTTATACTACATTTTATTTCACTTAAAGCCTAAATCTGCCTTCCACTTATTAAGCTGAGGACCCTAATTACCTCGATGAAGAAGTTGAACTCATAAACATTCTTTGTTCTCGATGTCGAACTAATTCAAGTGAAGAACAAGTAAAAATACTGAGTAACTGAAGAAACTTCACATTAAATTCGGCAAATAAAAACCGAAATGGCTGTTTGTGTGGCTGTGTGTGTGCTTGTGAGATTAAACGCTTAGATCACACAATTAAGTTTATTGAGTTTGAAGATCTTTTGTTCTGCAGAAACTTGACTCATCGCTTAAAATAAAGAATATTCAAAGAATATTACTTTTTTTCAATTTCGCAAAACGTGTAGACCAATTTTGAATGGAAATTTTTGGAGATTTTTTTGCTCTGCTGCTTTTTGGCTAATTAGTGAATCGGCTTACTCATTATTATTACGTGAAAAATTGTTTTTGGTTATGGAACATATTGTATCATTAATCTTCAAGCAATAAAGTTTACATAAGTACCATAAATATGAGTCTCTAACCCATATTTGTGGGATGCTCTAAAAAAATTCAATTGAAAAATCTTTTTAAAGTTTTTTTTTACCTTCCTTAAGAGGGAGCTGTGGGCGTTAATCGATGCTCCAGTATGTAGTTAAACTGTCGCAGATGATCGCAAAATGAGTTATTTGGTAACTCAGCCTCAAATGATTCACAAAAAAGTTTTAAAATAATGGTTGACGACAAAAAATTTCCAAAAACGTTACATAAAATTTTTTTTTAAAGATTTTATGACTAATTTTGTTAAAAAAATTTATTTTTTTGTTTTATTTAATTTTTTCTTTATTACGAAATTGAAATCATGTTTATTTTGAGTAGAAAACATCATGCTTTCTTCAAACAAAAAAGGCAAACACGCCGCAATTTCAAGTAACACAAACAGTCTACAACCCACACGGCTGGCAACATGTATGCTCCTACACCTTTTTCTTGTAAAACACTCGAGAAGAAAGTTAAAAAGATATGAGAGATGACTTTGAGAGTCAAAAAGCCAATCTTACTGACAACATGGTACTCAAAGATACTAAATAAACATGCTGCGCATGCGCACAAGTGCCATCATCCGCATAAAGCTATAAAATCACACGTAAACACAAACACATAGTTCATACATACATATGTATGTATATGGAAATCAGACTAACAAAACACCCAAACAAATAGTTTGTAATAAAAATATATGAAAAATAAATCAAATATTTTATACGCAGATTTCGACTTAAATAGGCAAAAGACAGTGGTGGTCATAGTATAGTAGCACCAGAGAACTCTAAATTCGTTAAATTTTTTAACATAATATAAGTTTGGACCCATTACTGTAAATACCTATTTTAAATGATACCTAAAGCCTTCCTGAGTTTCTGCTCAAGTCATCCGAATGCTCATACCAAATAAGAAAATCCTATAAACCTGAATTATAATTAAAATTTACTGTTCCCACGACAGTCGGGTCTACGTAAACGAAACAGAGCGGGACTTTTAATCGATTAAGGACTCGGCTCAACTCGGCAGCAGTCCTCCATACTACTTCAGGGATGTTTTCTGCCGCTACAACAGCAATAAGTCGATTTCTAGTTAAAACTTAAGAAGTAACAAAGTCCTTTATCCGATATTACCCTCAGTAATAGCAGCGACAATTTTTCGAGAGTTTTCCGTCTAATTTGGGATCATACTTTCAATACATTTCCAGTGAACTGCAAAAATGTTATTTGTTTTGAACTGGAAATGGCAATTCGTCAGCTCAACATATTATGTTTTAAAAAATGATTATCATAAAATCCTTTAAATCCGTAGGCATCCTAAAGCAAGTCAGCACATTTGCCAAATAATAGCAAAATCCAGCGGGAACCGAAGATGCGATATTAGCCTAGAGCTCACTAACCGTGCGTTCAAGATTGGTTAAGGAATTCCTAACCTCGTTATCAATGGCATTGATTCGCTTTGTGATAAGATTAGTATGGATGTTATGTCACCGCGGTATCGATGGTAATCGCAAAGCTGGCAAGAAAGGGCACACTAGCCGCGTTATCAGTGGAATGTGCACAGGTCGGTGCTAAGGTCACCTCGAGTGTTGTATTACTGAATAGCTGGGTGGGAGCTTGACGATCGCTGGGCTCCATCGGTTCTTGCATTGTCGCAAAGTCCTTTGGGCCCAAGGCCGATCGCAAGAAGTCCAATGAACCTTTTACCCTCAGTAAGGCTAGCTTCTCCTCAGTTGTGGGTGTTCTAATGGGTCATTGCCCTATCGGCGTTGAGGTCTCACACTCTTATATATCCCACTGAGCTAGTAGGAATAAAATTTAAATGCCTAAGAAAATTTGTATTTGCTGAAGGCGCTTTGCCGACTTCTAAGTTTGAATACAGTAGTTGTATTTTTATAGCTTCACAAAGGACTCGAAGAGAGATCCTCCATCTTGAGGATCAGCCATTGAAAACAAAAGGTTTATCAATCTTGCTGCTTCGAAAACCTAACGAAACAGAAAAGAGTAGCTATATTCAATCCCACACTTTGCTCCTCACAAATGTATTTACAAGTTATTAGGCCTATTTTTGTTATATTTTAATTTGATTATGTAACCTGTCCACTTATGTCAGTTGTGTGTTCGTTTCGCCACTTTAAATTTGATGAATCGATTCAAAACACAAGGGTTTTCGTTCAAAACTTTTCTTACACTCATATATTTAAATCAACTCTAATTATTCTAAATTTTATATCGGTAGAATATTGATTAGGATATTGATGTGTGTGTAAAAAACTATTGTTGGCATTTCTAACAGTAGAAAGTTTTTTTCATCAAAATACAAAATTTTGAAGTGTCCCCAATAACTTGACCACCACTGTTCAAACAGCAAAAAAACTCAATATATAAAAAAAAATTGAGATAGAAAGATAAGTGTGTGCAAGATGCAAGTAAAGAAAAAATATGAAAATAAATTCGTGTGTAAATAAAAACACAAGCCAGTCTGTCTGACGCAACGCAACAAAACAAGAAATAAAATAAACAAATGAATACAATCAATAAAAAATAAGAGTCAGCGGAACTTAATTATGAAGTTATGCGATTAATAAGATTGAAGTGAATCGAAGTGAAATGACAGCAATGAAGAGATTCAAATTCGAGTCCAAAGCACAGCTTAAATGACAATAAATTGAAACTGAAAGTTATTGCAACAACGAAGTGTTTGAGGGGCTTTTCAAAAAGGCAAATAAGATAAGACAGTGTCAAAGCAGAAGGCCATGTAAATAAAAATAGAAATCATATAACATAAATAAAATCAGGAAAATATTTATGCGAGGTGTTGAACATTTTTCGAATGGTATACATTTTTTTTTTTTATAAAAATGAGAAACATATATTTTTAGAAATTAAATAAAAATATAATATATATTTATATACACATATACTTATGTATATTACTTGTATTATAAATATATAATACATTATAAATATATATTAAAAATGTTCACTTCATTGAAATTTACTAAGCGTGTGGGTTGAGCGAAATTCCCAATTAGTGATGCCGATGGTATTCGAGTGTAACTCTCATATACGGTAAATGAAATCAAGCATAAGTCATTATAGTTGATTTAGTTGCAAATGGCTATGAGAATAATGTGCTTATTAAAATTTATTTTTACGAGCAGCAACTTACCAAACTAGTATTTGCAAATTTGTGTAATTTTAGTCTATTTATGTTTGTAAGTAGGCAATGAGTGGGTAGTGTCAATGCTGACCTTAACAATTAAAGCATAAACTATGCATGAACTAACTACAAAAACGTAAATATTTTCAGTTTAAAGTATATTCCTTTGTTTGCTGAGTTATCTATATTAATTTTAATTTTAAGATGAGTTTAAGGAAGGAGAGATTTGGAAATTCAAGTTTTTGTAAATTTTATTTAAAAAAAAACAAAAAATAACCGAAGGTTAGAAAAAACTACACAAATACAAAATATTCCTTACAAAACCTTGATTTTTATCGGCCATGTCAAATTTGGTGAAGATAAATCAAATGAAAAAGCTTTCCATA